GGCCCCCTAAGGGTCCCCTAGGGGCCCCCCAAGGGCTCCGCAGAGGCCCCTCAGGGGCCCCCAAGGGTTTTCGTGGGGCGTTCTAGGGGGCCCCTGATGGGTTAAGAAGGGTTTTAGGGTTTAGGGTTTAGTATTTATCTGAGGGGCCCCCAGGGGACCCCCCAGAGGGCACTAAGGGGGCCCTCAGAGGCCGTCTCAAGAGGCTTTTATAGAGGCCACAAAGGGACCCCCAGGGGCCCCCAAAGAGGCCCCCCAAGGTGGCCCAGAGGGCCCCCAAAGGGTCCTCCAGGGGCCCCTTGAGGGGCCCTGGGGGACCCCAGGGGCCCCAAAAGAGGCCCTTTGGGGGCCCCCAGGGGTCCCCTCAAGGGCCCGTACCGCTGCAAGGGGGCCCCATAGGGTACGATTAGGGGGGCCCCACGGGGGCCCCTAGTACCGCTTGTGGGGCCCCACAAATGCCCACAAAGGGCCCCCGGGGGCCCCCTGGGGGGCCCCGGGGGCCCCCTGGGGGCCCCGGGGGACCCCAGCCTGTGGGGCCCCAGGGGCCCCAGGGGCCCCAGGCCTCATTTTGTGGGCGGCGCATTTGAAAAGCGATTTAGTTATTCATTTCAGATTGTGGCCGTCGTAGCTATGCTGCTGCGCTGCTGCTGCTGCTGCGCTACTGCTGCTCCGCTGCTGCTGCTGATCTGCTGCTGCTGCGCTGCTGCTGTTTCAATAGAAGTAGAGTTTTCTAAGAAGGCTAAAGAGAGGCGAAAGGAGACAAAAAGAAATAAAAGAGTCAAATAAAAGAAACAAAAATAAATAAAAATAAAAAAAGACGACAAGAGTTTTCGCCTTTTCCCTTTCTGCAGTTGTGCAGCGCCCACTGAACTGTCTATACACCCGAACACAAACCAACTGACAAAAAAAATAAATAAAAAAAGGGTCCTAACAGATCCAGGGGGCCCTTGGGGGCCCCCAGGGGCCCCCCAAAGGGGCCCCCAGGGGCCCCTGGGGTCCCCCAGGGGCCGCCAAAGGGGCCCCTAGGGGCCCCTGGGGGCTCCCAGTGGCCCCCCAAAAGGGTCCCGAGGGGGCCCCTGGGGGAGGGGCCCCCCAAAGGGGCCCCCAGGGGGCCCCTGGGGAGCCGAAGAGGGCCCCCAAGGGGCCCCCTGGGGCCCCGCTAAACCCTTTGGGTCCCTCTGGGGGCCCCTGAGGGCCCCAAGAGCTTTTGGGGGCCCCCAAGGGCCTCAGGATATAGCAAAAAAGGGGGCCCCTTGAAGATTGTCTTTCTTAATTTTTATTTTTTCGATTCTTTTTCGTTTCTTTTTATTTCTTTTTGTTTCTTTTTATTTCATTTTATTTCATTTTGTTTTTTTGCTGCTTTTGCTGCCTCTAAAAGCCTCAAGGAGGGCCTCAGAATGCAGCAATTGGAAGGGCCCCCTTGGGGGCCCCCAAGCAAATCCCTTTCAAATTGGGTAGGCCCCTGTGGGGCCCCCAAAGGGCCCTTTGGGGGCCCCTGTGGGGCCCCATGGGGCCCCCTCTAAGGACCCGCAGAGGAGCACTCTAGGGGCCCCCTGGGGCCCCCAAAGGGCCCCTTGGGGGCCCCCAAAGGGGCCCCTAAAGGGCCCCTAGGAAGCACTTTGGGAAGCACTTTGGGGCCCTCCGGGGGCTTTGTCTTGGGGCCCCTCGGGGGGCCTCTCGGGGGGTCTTATGGGGGCCCCCCGAGGGTTCAGTTTTGGGTCTTGGCTGTATTTGCTGCTAAGAGTTGGTCAATAAGGGTTTTATTTATTTTCTTTTTTTGTCTTTTTTGTTTTTTTTGTTTCTTTTTTTCTCCTTGCGACCTGTACATACACCTCAGCTGCCCCGCTGCAGCCGCCTATACACCTCAAAAACAGCAGCAGCAGCAGCAGCAGCAGCAGCGGCAGCAGCGGCAGCAGCAGCA